ATAATATTACCTACAACAGCAATCCATGATATTATTACTTACAACAGCAGTCCATGTTAATATTACTTTTAACAGCAGTCCATGTTTATATAACTTACAAGAGCAGTCCATGTTTATATAACTTACAAGAGCAGTCCATGTTACTATTACTTACAACAGCAGTCCACGTTAATATTACCTACAACAGCAATCCATGTTAATATTACTTACAACAGTAGTCCATGTTAATATTACTTACAACAGCAGTCCATGTTAATATAATCTACAACAGCAATCTATGATAATATTACTTACAACAGCAGTTCACGTTAAAATTATTTACAAATGTAGTCCATGTTAATATTACTTACAACAGCAGTCCATGTTAATATTACTTACAACAACAGTCCATGTTACTATTACTTTTAATAGCAGCCCATATTAATATTACATTTAACAGCAGTCCATGTTAATATTACTTACAACAGCAATCCATGTTATTATTACTTACAACAGCAGTCCACGTTAATATTACCTACAACAGCAATCCATGATAATATTACTTACAACAGTAGTCCATGATAATATTACGTACAACAGCAGTCCATGTTAATATTATCTACAACAGCAATCTATGTTAATATTACTTACAACAGCAGTCCATGTTAATATTACCTACAACAGCAATCCGTGATAATATTACTTACAACAGCAGTCCATGTTAACATTACTTACAAAAGCAGTCCATGTTAATATTACTTACAACAGCAGTCCATGTCAATATTACTGACAACAGCAGTCCATGTTAACATTGTGTTGCATGCTGGAGCGTATGTAGTCATAGGTGTAGTTTATGTGTTTGTAAAATCATTCGACTTGTGACGGTTTTCGCTCCAATCAACCTTTTTAGAACCTCTAAAACCCTATAACCCTATACCCTGAAATCGAAGTTCCGTTTCCGAGTAAGTTGTGCCCTTACCATGCAATATCGCATAGTGTCAGACCCAATTTTACTTAGGGGTTTTGGGTTTCTAAGCTCCAAACCCATTTTCACCTCTCCAGGAGTTTTCAGAAGTTTTAAGCTTTAAACCCAATTTCACTTTTAGGTTTCGAAACCCCTAAACCCAATGTTGGCCTATTTCAACCGCCCGATTCTCACCCATTTGAATGTCTGCGTTGTTCTGCAGCGTGACACTGCTCAGTCGTTGGTCGACGAATTAAAGAAGGTGTCGGCTGATTTGGAGAAAGAAATCACTGCGCACGACGAGGTGTGTGCCCCTGCACAATGCTCGTGTGTGTGACATAAGTGTGTGGGTGAATGTACGGATATAGGGTGTATGTGTGTGTATGTACGTGTATATGGTGTTGTATGTGTGTATATTTACGTATGTATGTTGTTGTATGTGTGTTACTTACGTATGTATGATGTTGTATGTGTGATAGTTCCGTTTGTATGGTGTTCTTTGTGTGTTTGTTACGTACGTATGGTGCTAAATGTGTGTATTTACATGCTGTCGGCTTACTCCTTAGGCGAACCCACACGCTGTTCATTTCTCCAACCTCATCCCCGTGCTCACACTTCATATGCATACGTCACTCTCTGTTTGTAGACGAAAAGCAAGCTGGACGAGATCGAGACACAACTCTCAGAACACACACAGAAGAGCACCACACTACAGGAACAGTACGAACGCGTTGCTATTGAACTCGCCCAATCGAGTGCCACGGCCAAGAACGCCGGGGCTAGTAGGTAATGTTAACATAACCTTTGCTAGTAAAACTAGTAAAACTATTACTAGTCAAACAGTACCTACTATTATCAGGTACGGAGAGAAGCCCTGCTGCAGACGGTGTGACACGCTGTCAATTAGCGCATTAATACGCACGAACCAACACAAACACAGACGATGCATAAGCACAAACACACACATAGTATATCTAGATGTATGTGTTAATAGTCACAAGCACACACGCAGTACATCTAGATGTGTGTGTTGCTATGCTAGTAGTCACAAGCACACACGTACAAACACACAGCCACGGTGAAGATAATGCATAAGCATGCTGCAAATAGGTAAAACAAGTAGGTATGGCATATGCTTCTGACTTTTTAGGGGTTTTAAACCCCCCCTAAACCTCGTTTATCCCCCCCCCCCCCTCCCTCCTCCTCTCCTCTGCAGTGACATGTTATCGCTTGAGATGGCTGACCATGTGCGTACCGCAGCCAAACTGCGCGCGCAATTGGCAGAGAACGAAGCACTGGTGATTGAAATGCCCGCGCTCAAAGAGAAACTGGCCAAGAAGGAGGCGCTGCTCAAGAAGGCATCCGAGGCCACCAAGAAACTCAAGGTGGGTGAGTGTGTGTGTGTGTGGGTGTGTGGGTGTGTGGGTGAGTGAGTGAGTGAGTGTGTGTGTGTGTGTGTGTAGCCCTGAATATGGGAGGCGGATATGCACCCCTAATGTGATATTTAGAGCTGTGTGAATGTACATGAGTTTCGTGCTCACCCCTGTTGTGTTATTCAGGGCATGTGTGGGTTTAGGGTTTAGGGTATGTCCAGGGTATAGCCATGGCGATCATAATCACAGAGAAACATTGACATGTGTTGAATTCGAAGTTGTGCTCTATCGCTCTGGAGGGGTAACTAGATGTACGTGCATGTGTTCAGATTAGTTGAATTGTGTAGATCCAGCCAGCCAGACTCAGTGTAGCTACAAGCGGATAGGTGCAGTTATAAGGGCTTGGGCTGGTTAAAAAGTGCAAGAGCTCAGGGAAGTTAAACATGGACAGATGCAACGGAACGAGCTCGGAGTGTAGTTTACACAAAGTAGTATACAGTGATGGTAGTGGGGTGTTTCTGGTGAGGGGAGTAAGTCAAAGGTACATAACGAACTGCGCAGAAACAGTTGGCGCTACGATGACCTAAAACCATGTTTCTAAACCATAAACACTAAACCCTAAATCAAATAGACACGCCCATTCGTTGACGGGATGTAGGACGTGTTATACACGCGTGTGCCTAAATTCCACGGTGTGTTCGAGTTTTAGGG